CCCCTGAGGGTGCCCAGACTGCGAGAGGGTACAGGCCGGGCTGAGGAACACCCCCCTCCCCTCGAGTACACAAATTTTTGTGCACCGGGCCCCTAGTCTATATAATAAAACCCTAATATGCAAATTCACTGAGTCGCTATGATGTACACTGACCACCAGGGGGCAGACGCTCAATGCAGGAGCAGCCCCCTGGTGGTCAGTGTGCTCCCACAGAGTGAGGACTGCTTAGCCAGAAGCCAGGCTAATGGCTGGGGAGCGCAGCCATGGTGGCAGGAGCCTCTCCTGCCTCTGTGGCAGTGCTAAGGATCAGCGAGCAGTCAGGTGGTAAGGAGTGAGGGGTCTGGGACTGTGAGAGAACACAGGTCGGGTTGAGGGATGCCCCCTGCATGTGCACTGGGCCTCTAGTAGTTAATAATGCTGCAGTACTTATTTGAAAGTTGCTAGAAGAAGAGATCTTGAAAAATTTTTTTAAGATCACAGTTAAAAGACATTAATGTGAGAATTGTTTTATCTACCTATTTAGCTCCAAAAGAAAGAACCTAGATTTCTGAACCTTTCAGGCCACTGGGAAATTTTTCAACCACGTGCCGATCAGAGATATTCATTCATAGCTTTCTCCATGTTTTATCTCAAAAATAGCTTTCAATGTCCAGTGAATTATCCTTTAGTTACTTTATCTTAACATGAAGGGTCTCTATTAGATGATCTCTAAATGCTTCTAAGTCTGGAACTATATAATTTTATGACTCCTGAGTATATTATTGTTGGAAAATATTTTTTAAAATTTCTTATTCATAGTCAATTAGCCTATTTCATTTAGTACTTGAATAAATACAAGTTGCTCTCAAGGTAATACCATCACTTTCCTGAATTTGCAAAGAGGAGAAAGAGCTCAGGTCTGTTTTACCAGTATACATCAATTCTTTATATTCATCTGAGAGGTGATATAGTGCATTTCTGAAGAAGATAATGGATGCAGTTAAGACAGGGTCAGGCAATGCACCTAGCCTAGACACTAAAATCTTAAAAGTGTGGTTACAGTTTTTCAAATAATGACACTTCTAAGCTTAGCAGATAATAAACACCTGAAATTCTAATTTAAATATTTAAAAATCATTTACCATTATATGTATTCTTAACCATTGGTTCTTTTCCTTAACATAACTAATCCAAAGCCACCATAGATAGAATCATCTAAAAAATGTGGGCTACTTCTAATATTTACAAACCCCATTAGTAAATAAAATGCGCTGAATCACAGAATAGTCTTTGAATAAGAATTTATCTGATTTTATTCCTTAACAATTTGAAGATTACCTAACACTATTTATGTGGCCCTAGAAACTCTTTTTCTTCCATTCAATGAAAGTCTGAAATTTCAATAATTAGATATTGTGTAAGTTGTTGTATTCATTCATCCACACACTTGAAATATATTGATTGAGTGTTTACTAAACACAAAGACAAAGGCCCTAAAGGTATTTTATTTTCTGTCAAATACAACAGCATATTAAAGTCTATTATAATCAGTCTTTTCAGTCCTACATATGTCAATGTTGTTTAGTTATCAGAACATTTAAGAGCAGGATTTTTAAAAAATATATATATTTTTAAAAATTGGAGGAAGGGAGATAGAGAGAAACATCAATAATGAGAGAGAATCATTGATCGAGTGCCTCCTGCACACCTCACACTGGGGATTGAGCCTGCAACCCAGGCATATGACTAGGTTTCAGAGCAGACCGTGACTTCCTAGTTCATTGGTTGATGCTCAACCACTGAGCAACACTAGCTAGGCATATGTTGTTGATTTGCAAATGTGCAATAGGCCACATTTAACATCATTTGAAATCCAAATACAGTGCTAATAAGAACGCACATGGCCTTCATCTACTCTGTGTAGGACAAGGGTCCGCAAACTTCCTGTGTAAAGGGTTTGATAGCAAATGGTTTGGGCTCTGTAGACAATCCCATCTTGGTCATAACTACTGAACTCTGCCATTGTAACATGCAAGTAGCCAAGGACAATGTGTAAATGAAGGTACATGTCTGCCTTCCAGTGAAACAGTAATTGTGGACACCAAACATTAATTATGGACACCAAAATGTTAATTGCATATTATGTTTATGTATCAAAAATATTCTATTCATTGTTTCCTAAACTTTAAAAATTGAATAAAAATAATTCTTATCTCATGTGACATATATAAACAGGCAATCGTCCAGATTTCACCCACTGAGTATAACATCCTGACACCTGGTATGTAGATAATATAATGACATACCCTCCTTTATGACATCTATAAAAATTATTTCCTTCTTTAATATAAAACAATTAATAAAGTAAGTCAAAAATTAAAAGCTCAGATATTCTACATGATGATGAGCAAACCAGTGACCTAATGACAAATGCTGGCTCTCGACAGTGACTTGGTCAGAATGCAGAAGTGTCCTGTGTTGAAGTTATTCTGCAGGGACAGACTGTCAGGAAGCAATGCTGGGTGGATGAACTAACCCACACTACTGAGCACAGCAGGATGGCAGCAAGGAGCCCAGGGTGGCCTCCTGGTACTGCTCAGAGGCGGCACCAGGTGGCGCAGCAGCAGCAAACGCGCCTGGCAGGCCAGCCTGGCAGATCTGGCCACAGGCTCCCACGTGGGTGAGGGGCACAAGCCTGGGGACCACGAGTCACAGGACCCGTTGGGCTTCCTGGCTTGCACTGCTGCCTCATCCGGGTCCACCAGGGTCCCCAGGGCGGAGGAGCCATTGGAGGCCGAGCCCAGCTGGTGTGGATGCTGCCCCTGCTACCAAACCAAGTGCATCTGCCTGGAGTCCAGGCCACCATCCTGCAGGCACTCCTCCCCAGCATGTGGGCAAGATCCACTTGCTCATCTGAGGGAGGAGCTGGAGCGGTAGCTGGTGAGGGGCAGCACTGGACCAGACCACCTTCCTCAATGTCACCAAGATGAGTGCCGTCCTGCTCATCTGCCCAGAGACTCCTGCCTAAAAGCCTAGTTGACCCCCACCCCCCTCCCTGCAACTGAGTGCGGGTTCCAGCCTATCTGGCACCTCCCAGGTGCTGGGACTTGGAGTGTCCCATGGGGTAGTGGCTGTTGTGGGCAGGAAGGGCTCATTCCAAGGGGGAACTTGGGCTTATCAGGTATTTAAAACACTTGGAGGATTGGGGTTTCCCTGGGTCTTGCTCTGTGGGGGCAGCCAAGGAGTCACTTTCCCGAAGAATGGGACTTGGAGAGCCCCTGGGTCCTGGGAGAAAGCAGGAGAGTGGAGAGGCTCCATCAAGTC